TTTCCTCTGGATTAACAAGTGCTTCACAAGCTGAGAAAGGCAAATCAACCATAACCCAAATTTGCATGGAAAGATTTGGCATCAATATTAGTTTATTTTAAAGGTGGATCTCTTGAGTCTTTGCTGTTCCAGAGACTTCATTTGAACAGGGGTCGGGAGAAGAGTGAAAGAGGTGGATTCACTTCAGTTAAAAGCTGAATAGTTAAGGTAACACCTACTTTCTGAAAGATACTACAGACAAAGGAAATAAAGGACGAAATTAAGTGTGAAACGCTTCTTCTTTTAACTTCTCATAACTTTCACAGAACTGAAAAAGACCAATTCATTTTAATCAATCACGTCAAGCCCTTGAGAAGTTACCAAATCTCTTAGATTTTGTGACCCACGAAAATTTCCTCTCCTGGCCACAAGGCACAAGTATAAGAAAACATATACTGGCAGATTTCTAAGTCTGATATGACTTCTTCCAAATACAGCTGTCTTCAGTTGCTTTATTACTGCCTCTTTGCAAATAGAGCAACATAATGGTGATGGTGGGTGAGGGAATGACATCAGGCACGCCAGAAGGAAGAAGTCAGAAAGCCCTCGGGGAGAGGAATCTCCTTGCGCTGCAAACATTTCTGGTCAGAGAAAGATGAAGAAAAGAAAATGATTTTCTGATAACACCATTTCTAATACTTAACAGGTAAGAGATATACAGGAAGAAGATGAAAGGGCTGCCCTTAGTCCAAAGGTTAAGGAAGAATCATACACAAAAAAAGGGGCTCAGAAAACTAAGAGGAAGGGACTGCAAACAGAGTCTAAAAGTCTAGGACCTGTCAGACACAGGTGTGTGCCAGACCTGGGATGGACTGGTGTAAGGGTATCTTACCTCTAAGAACTGTTTGAGGCGTATAAAGGAACCCATCTGTCCCGAGCTTGTGATGGCTTCAATTCTATTAGGGGAGAAAAGAGAGACTTGAATCACACCTGCATTTTGGACAGGATGTATGTACACTGTTTATCTGGAGTAAAGGGGTAGATAAATGACTCACAGAGGTGTCTTTGAG